GATTTGCAAAGTAAGATCACAATGGAATCACCACAGTTCATTAAAGATGCTTAAATTGCAATCATAATAATAATAACGATAAAGATATAGTAGGAAATAGTATATCAACTAAAATTAGGAAAATTACACAAAAATTCAGGATCGATCATTCAAACATAGATGGCCAAACAAGTTAGGATAATATCTGAACCAACCAACTTCTTCTTTTGGATGCACAAATTAGGCTTGTTAATATGGATCCCAACAGCCAGCCAGCCAGCCTCAGCAATATTTAGTAGTCGAAATGTTAAGGCGAAATTGAGATTTGTTAGTTGGTATTCGGTAAATGACCGTGAAAGCCGCCGCCTTGTTAACATCAATCAGTCTTGTTTTTTGTATCCACAAGATGATGAGTGAGATAGAATAGCAGCGCTGTGAATAGATTTTGTTTGTCCTTTGCTTAACCAGGCAGGGTGATGTTCTGAGATTCGACGAGAAACACGCCTTATTGTATGGCCTATGCAATACTGCAATTTTCCTATTCACCATTCACGTTAAAAATGTTTTCAAAAGTTGTTTAGTAGTAGCGTGACACAGTTTTTGTGCATATGCAATAAGCTATAATGTTTTTCTGAAGCGAGGGAGCAGAAAAGGATACCACAAGGAACATCACTGTAATTAACTGGACTGTTGTGGTATGGAGACATAGTTAGATTTTGACTGGACACTAGCAACCAGTGTCATACGTGTCTATTCCTTTGGTTGTTTGGTGCCGACTGAATTATATCAGCCAGTCAGTCAGTCAGGTTTGCAATATGGCCACCATTCTACTAGGTGGTTAGCTCACCATCCCAATGCACACATTGATTTGATGATATTAGATACTTGGAGGCAATCGGCCAGAGTAAGCCTTACCTGGATCTAGGTTTCGTGCTAGTTGGCACTCACCAGTCAGTCAGCAAGGCGTTTTTGTAGCCACATTGAAGGAACAGCTCATGCCCCTTCTGAGGAGATTCGAATCCGCGTCATCCAGTGCTGCCTGCAGTCAGAGACGTTACCACTGAGCTATTAGGGCTCGCAACTGACCTCCTGTAGGACTGTTGTGGGACTGCGGCGCCGGGTGACGCGGGCTCGAATCTCAGAAGGGAAATGAGTTCCTTCAAGGTTATAGATACACCTTGCTGATGAGTGCCAACAAGCAAGAAACCTAGGTCCCAGGTTTCCTGCTGACTGCCTCCAACCATCTTATATCATATAGTTAGATTATTCCATATCATTGACAGCTGCATTATATCACAGTCAACTCTGATTTGATGACTAGTGTTTGCGGCTCGCCTTAGGCAGAACATGATCGATTCTTCATTCGCCTATTCTGATTTTTTGATCTTCAGAGATTTTGAAATCAGTCTAGTTTTCACTGACTGACTGGCTGACTGACTGAAATTTTCAAGATGATTTTGAATTCACTCCGCCTTGAGAAAGCTGACATATTCGCCATGAAAATCTGATAAATACTTGTTTATCGTGAAGTTAATGAATAATGCGCTTTGGTTGGTGTTTGAACCTACGGGCACTGGGTTCCAGCTTCACTGGCAATACACCATCACTCACTAGGGAATGCAGGTACATCCATCCAACTGACGAGTCGCATGAGAGAGGAAACGAGCATCCTGGGTCCCGCTGCTAATCACCACACAGCATCTGATTTCAAAAAGAATTTCGTTTGTTTTTGTTGTATAGTGATTTTTTTTGCATATTTTCTAGCTCAAATGAGTGGAAGGTTTTATGACTGGTATTGTGGTGAGTGCTACTTATAATCCGATATAAGTAGTATATCAGAAACGAATTCAGAAAAGTAATAATATGTTTTGCACACTGGAAAGAGCAGTCAAAGAAGAGAACCATGAGAAGAATTTTGCCGTATGATGCAAAATCCAAGAAGCTATCGAATGTGACGATATTCGACCAATTCGTCAAGGATGTGGTAAATGATGTGAAAATGGCAGTTTGAAAATATGGTATACGAAATTTACCTATGTACAATACGTTTCTCCTTTCAGCCTCCTCGGTATTTTCTTTATCTGCATAGCCGCCACCTGCTGTTTGAACTCTTCAATCTGGTCTTCGATCTTCTTGGAATCTTGGCACCCCGTCATCACTGGAGCACCATGCGTAGTCATTATCTGCCTCGTCACCTTCGCCATTTCATAAACATCCATTGGTTGAGCTGCGTTAACTAGCTGTAACTGATGAGCGATATTTGTCTGGACGCATTCAAGGAACTGAGATGCAAGCAACTGCTCCCGTGAATCTCCGTCCAGGGTGGGTAACTCGCGTCGCAGGTGATTCGTCAGCGTTACTGCGAGAACTAGCAGAACCCATCCTAGCTAAGTCTGAGCGTCCGAAACTTCTGCAGCGCCTCTTGTCTGTCCGCAGGGCTGTCGAACTCGCACACGAGCCTCTCGACGACCCTGGCCCACGCCACTTCACCTTCCAGCAACCTTCGCGTGGCCCCTCAGCAGAGCTCCTACACTCCAACCAGCTTCGCCTTCTGCTCCTACACTCCAACCAGCTCCGCGACAGCTTCGAAGTCCCTGAGGAACGTCCGCACATCTCCCTCCTCGAACACCTGCGGCCACGGCACCTTCATCTCCGAGAGAAGCAGCGGTACCAAATGTGAAGAAAAAAAAACCGAGGAGGATGAAAGGTGAAACGTATTGTACATAGGTAAATTTCGTATTCCATATTTTCAAACTGCCATTTTCACATCATTTACCACATCCTTGACGAATTGGTCGAATATCGTCACATTCGATAGCTTCTTGGATTTTGCATCATACGGCAAAATTCTTCTCATGGTTCTCTTCTTTGATTGCTCTTTCCAGTGTGCAAAACATATTATTACTTTTCTGAATTCGTTTCTGATATACTACTTATATCGGATTATAAGTAGCACTCACCACATTATGACTGTCAATCTGTGTGTAGTATTGAATTCAGGAGAAACTTCTCTAGATAGATGCGCAAAGTTTCTACCTGGCTTGAATCATTTACTTTTTTTATTCCTTTAAACTCTCAGCTGTTTGATTTTTGAGTTTTATACCTACCTAATTGACCTTGAATTTTTTACTTGTTCACTTTATTACAGCAGACGATGTACTAGGAGATTTATGAAATGTTTCATAGGCCAAGTTAAACTTTAACCACCACTAAAACTACCATCAATCAGCGAATGACCTCGAATGGACCATTGAGGATCATGCACATGAGTTCAAGATTGTATTCCGCTTGATTCGTATCAAATGCCTGCTCTAACGAAGTTACGTTTGCAGTTCGATAAGGATAAAGTTTTGCAATATTGACTAGATTTGGGATTGCTTAGGGAGGAAGGAGGGGATTTGTTCATTTGGATTGCTGGATATCGGTCAGTCGGTCGGTTTTACACATGGAACTTTGCACATATGTGCGGCAGTTCAAGTCGCCACACTCCATGTAGCATACAAAGCAAGAGAAGAAAGTAGGAGAAATGCATAATAGAGAGACAGTAAACAGAAGTGTGTGAGACAGAGGAATAGTAATAATGGAGAACAAAACAGTTTCATTGGAAATCATAAGTCACAAGGAGTGGATGCATCTGTGCCACTGAGAACGATCACTTTGAGCCATGCCACCAATTGTTTCCAACCTTCATTGGTTTTTACCGTCCCGAGGACCCCAACCAGTCAGG